TGGCAGCTTCTTTAGAAACTGCCTTGCACCCACCACCTGACCCTGCCTGGCCCTTAAGGCATTTATCCAAGAGAAATGAAACCTCACACTCACACAGAAAGATGGGCACAGATGTTCACAGCAGCTTGATTTATAAAAGCCTCAAAATGGAAATAAGTCAGAGGTCATCAATAGGCAAGTGGATAAACAAAGTAACGTGTATCCGTGCCCTTGGGTATAAAACACCCGAGAAAGTGAAGAAACTACTGATATTCGTGACATCCTGGGGGAATCCCTAGAGGATTAACTACGGGAAAAAGGCCAGTCCCCAAAGGGTACATGCTGCATGATGCCACTTACGTGACATTCTTGAAATGACAGAATTATTGAAAAGGGCAGAGATCAGTGCTAACTAAGGCTTGAGGACACGGTGGGAGCAGAAGGGACATGAGTCTGCTATAGAAGGAGTCAGGGTTTGGATGTGAGGGGACTCCCAAAGGCTCACGTGTGAGATAATGCAGGAAGGTTCAGAGGAGACATGATCGGGTTATGAGAGTCTTAACCCAATCAGTGATTAATCCCCTGATGTGGATTAACTGAGGGGTACCTGCAGTGGTGGGGTGTGGAGGGAGGGGGTGGGGACTACGGCGTGGCTTTGGGTATATATTTGTATCTGGAGAGTGGAGTCTCTCTCTGCTTCCCCGTCACCATGATGAGAGCTGCTTCCCTCCGCCACCCTCTTCAGCCATGATGTTCAGCCTCACCTGGAGCCCTAGGAATGGAGCCAGCCTTCTGTGGACTAAGACCTCTGAAACCGTGAGCCCTCCAGGACACTTTCCCTCCTTACAGGTGTTCAGGTCAGAGTCTTTAAGTCACAGCAGTGAAAAAATCTGTCTAAAACAGACAGGGGTACAAATGTACCAGGTGAGGGGGAAATGACTACGTCAGCTTCGATATCCTGATTGTGATACTGTGCAGTCCTTGTGCAAGAGGTGGCCCCTGGGGAGACTGGCAAAGGGCACTCAGGGTCTCTCCATGCAGTTTCTTACAGTGAGTGTGAAATACTTATTTCAAAACTAAAAGATTAGTAATAATAATAGCCAGGCACAGAGGCACATGTCTGTAATTCCAGAGGCTCGGGAGGCTGAGACAGGAGGATGGCTGGTTCAAAGCCAGCCTCAGCAATGCCAAAGCACTGAGCAACTCAGTGAGACCCTGTCTCTAAATAAAATATAAAATAGATCTGGGGATGTGGCTCAGTGCTCAAGTGCCCCTGAGTTCCATCCCTGGACCCCCCCACACACACACATAAAAAATAATAAATAATGATAAAACCCCACACCTTCTGCTTTCAGCTAGAATGGCCAGCCAGGTGATGTAGGTTCGGTATTTCCAAAATCTAGAATGAGGACCCTTTAATATGCCAAGTGTCTGTTGAGCTAAAATCCCTGGTGCACACTGGGTCACAATTGTGAATAGCTTGGAGGTCTGTGTCCACTGGACCAGGAGTGTCTTGTGCACTGCCCAACCACCTCTGCCTCTGTGGGCACAGGCTAGGATAAGGCTAATTGGGATGAAAAGTCCTTGTTATGTGTAATTTCTTGGGCAAGTTACTTCAACTGTTTCTTTCTTAGTAAAATATACATAATTGTACCTGCCTTACAAACATTTTATAAATATTGAGGAAAAGTTTGAAGACAGGGATGGTGTTAATAGCTAAGTTTCAGATCCAACCATAGTAGCAATTATTACAATGGATAAGAGGCCAAAACCAGTGGAAATACAAAATTTGCTGTAAAGTCTACACAGGAAATGTACTTTTTGTTCTGTTTACCTCTTTATAGCTTCTTTGGGTTAATCAAATTTTTAGATTTGTTTTAATTAGTTATATATGACAGTAGAATGCATTTATTCACTTTGATATAACATACATAAATGGGGTGTAATTTCTCATTTTTCTGATTGTACATGTCATAGAATCACATTAGCCATGCAGTCATATACGTACATCAATTCTTTTATTATTCTCTTTTTCTATTAGTGTTTTTATTATACATTCCCTCATTGTTCCTTTCAGTGGTTTCTAGATATAATCTATTTTCACTTATTATAATTTAATATATATCAATGTTTTTACAACTTCCAGGATAATGTAAAGAGCTTACAACACATTAAATCTGTTTATCTCACCTGCCTTTTGTGATATCATCATGCATTTTGATTTTAGATTTTAAATCCCATGATACATCATTATTGCTTGACATAATTGGTGATGTTTTAAATTTATCCACATTCTTGCTATTTCAGTGCTCATCATTTCTTCTTGTACTGTCTATCTATCTGAAATCATTTTCCTTCTGTACAAAGAATTCCTTTTAGTATTTCTTTTAGCTTATATCAACTGAAAATGTATTTTGTTAGTAATTGTTGATCTGAAGATGTTTTTGTCTTTGTTTTCAAATAATATGATTGCAAGGTACAGAATTCTGTTACCATTTTTCTTTTAGCATTTTGAGGATGTTGTTCCATTGCCTTTGGTCCCCATGTTCCAGTTGAGAAATCAGCCGTCAGTCTTATCATTAAATCATTAAAAGTAAAGTAATAACAAAAAATTTCCCAGTAAAAATAATTCCTTTAAATCTTATTACACATACACACACAACAAAAGTTCTTTTATATGTTCTAATTCTATGGATAAATTAGTTGAGATTTCAAATTAATACTAAAGGTCTAAACTAATGTATTAATCTTAGAGTATGAAATATAGAAACAAGGTGATCATATGAATAAGCCATATTTTTAAAATATTATAGGCATATTAAATTATCCATTATGTATAGTTTTAGCTAACCTCTTTAAGCCATTTTACATTTAATCCTAAATATCTCTGGAGCTAAAGTTTTTCTGTTCACCAAAGACAGTTAAGATCCTATTTACTGAGGTAACTGAATTCTAAATATTTTTGGAGTTGACAATGAATAACACTAAGGAAACTTGGTACAGTAAAACATTCCAGGTAACAGATAATTGAAAGGCAGAAAAGATCTACTTACACACTCACGGAGCCAAAAGATCCCCATTTAGAGTCACAGGATCATGAGCCACAGATTTGTACGGTGGTGCTCTCAAAGCTCATAAAATCCTTATACCAGGAATCAAGATATACTCATTACTTTTCCTTATTCAAAGGTCATATTCCAGCAGCTCACACCCAATCACTTAGTTGGACTTTTCATTTCATTTATTTCCTTTCCTTCTCTCTTCTTTCTTTCTTGTTTTCTTTTGCAGAGGTTGGGAATCGAACCCAGGGCCTCACATATACTAAGCAAGTATTCTACCACTGAGCTACGTGCCTAGCCCTTCTTTTCTATTTTTTAGGACATGTAAACACATTCTCAGTCAACTTATATAAACCTTTGAACTATATGAGATTCTTAATTATGTATGTGCATTTTTTATTTGGATTTAAAGAAAAATAAATTTTGTTTAAAAAATTGAATTTGATATAATCTTATGTTTTACTTTTTTTTCTTAAAACTATGTAATTCTTGTGAATCTTTTAAAAGCTACCTGGATAATTTTAGATATCCCACATGGCTGGGTTGAGCTATAGATTGTGACATTTTAGATCATTCTGACACCCATTCTCCTCAGAATTCTGCTCCTTCCCTTGGACTTTGGGTGGCTTTTTCTCAAAAGCCTGTGACAATAAAGGGTTAGAGGGGAAGAAGAGAGCAACCAGGGGCAGGGTCTGAGAACTGCCTTTACCTCCAGGGAAAGTTGGCTATTTGGATTTCTTATAGGTTGCCCCACACACAGTTTTCCAGTCCCATAGAAGGAGGCAGAACTCAGGGAAGACCTTCTCTCCAGGAATAAAGGTAGGCACATGTCAGATGAATCACTTGAAATGGGGAAGGGGATGCACAAGGGTGAGAAACTCTTCCAGGGATATCACTTCTGTGGTCTGTTGTGCTGATGCTCCTGTTCTGTCACCTTTATGTGACTTAGCTGTTCAGGTGAAAGGGACAGTGTCATGTGGAGCAAAGAACGCCACGTTCAGAGCTACAGGATCTGGGTTGGAGTGCTCCCCTTACGTGAGAACTCTGCCTCCTAGGGCAGATCACTTAACTTCTGAGCCTGCTCTTTAAAGTTGGCTAAATTAAAAAAATCTCTGGAGGAGGTTGTGAGGCATGCATAAGGTAGAAACATGAAGAATGTCACCCCTGGAGGCCCTGCTCACCCTTTGACTCTTACAGTACTCAGGCAGTGAATTGATGGATTTAGAAATGGCAGCCATTGACTTGCAGATGACCCTCATTGCCTGCTGTGCTGATAATTGACTTTCCCTAGATTGCTCTGGGGGTCCCCGCTATGGGCCCTCAACATCAGCAGGGGGAGCTTAATGGAGTCTGGCCTATTTATATTCCATGCTTAATGCTTACCCTCCAGTTAAGAAAGAGGGGTGAAGGGTGCTGATGCTTCAGTGGCATCCCAAAGCTCTTCTCTCTGGAGACAGCACTCCATCAAGAGTATCTGCCCTGCTTTGCTGGATCAGTCTTACTTCGCTACATTTGTTCACAAATCCTGTTTTCCGCCACACCCCATACCTGTTGTTGTAAGCCTTTCCTTTCCTTTCCTTCTGCCTGATGTCTTGCAATAGTCTAATTTACTTACAATACCTTTTCCACACTCACTTTTCCTTGACCTCTGCTTCCACCCCGGAGCTCAGATCAACTTCTCAAGCCTCCCTAGTGGTATCTCAGTGACCAAACCCGATGATCTTTTCTTAATTGACACCTGGTTTGGACTCCTCAAGCTGTTGAAGCGACTAACCAAGACTTTTCTTCTTAAAACCTTCCCTTCCCTTTGCACCTGGTTTTGTGTTACCCAGATTCTCCAGGAACCCATGGGTAGCTCCATCCTGTCTGATGTAGACCTTCCCCAAGGATTGGCCACACATATCCCCCTCCCCCTTCTCCCCTCCTTCTTCCCTCCTCCTCTTCCTCCTTCTTGTTCTCCTCCTCAGACAACCAGATATTCCCATAACTTCAATTATCACCACTGTTTTAGCTACTTAAGGGCAATGTCTCCACTGTTTAATTATCAGACTCATTTAACACACATTTATAGGGCTGCAGTGGTTATGTAAGGGTAAAAGAAATTGAAGTTAAAGCGTAAAAGTTAAAGGGTAAAAGACCGGGTGTTGTAAAAGTTTCTAAGCTGCAAGGTCTGAGTTAAAATGTAAAGGAGGTATTGTTAGGTTTCTATGCTACCTGCAAAACCCAAAATTTCTGTAGCTGTTAAGACAATGCTTAGAACCGCCCAGTAAATATTTCCCCTGACAATTTGGTTGTTTAGGGCTCTGTGTGGTCGCACATAGGCATTGCAGGGCCTGGACCAATCAGTTTAAATGTAACCCCCTCCTTAGGAATGACCTATCACTCCAGCCTGACCTGTTCCCGCCAATGAATGAACCAATCATGTTTAGGAGTTGTTGTTCAATTTTCCCGCGCCTCATGATGATTTGTTCTGATGTATACAAAGCCCTCCGCCCTCCCCAAAAAGTGTACTTAAGCAGTGCTCAGCCCCTGCTCGGGGCTCTGGGCTGCTTTCCCTTCTTGAGTGGGCACAGAGCCCCAGCATGCTGGTTCAATAAATCCCCTTCTGCCAATTGCATGAGTGGTCACTTGGTGGTCTCTTTCTCCGACGTTTCGTGGGACCCTTACAGTTAAAAGAAATAATATTTAAGAAAGGCAGGAAACAAGAGAACAGAAAGAAAATGACTTTAAAAAGAACACAATGCCTAAAGAAATTAAACCTACATGTGTTCAATACCCCTACAAAAAAATTTCTTAAGCTAATTGAAAAACAAAATCCATTTATATGTAAAAGCTCCAACAAAATAAAGTGGCATATCTAAAATACCTAATGGAAAACAAAGTAACTAAAACTAATTTTTAAGAGTAAAAAAAATGAAAAAATGAACAAAGGTAAAAAGAATTAAATAAAAACAGAGAGGGCTGGGGTTGTGGCTCAGTGGTAGAGCGCTTGCCTAGCATACACAAGGCACTGTGTTCGATTCTCAGCACCATATATAAATAAATTTTTAAAAAGGTCCATAAATGACTAAAAAAATATTAAAACAAAACAAAACAAAAAACAAAGAGAGATCGGTGAGGGGAAATTACATGAAAATAAAATCCAGGGAAAAATCACAGCATCAAACAACCATTGTCGGTGCTGAAGGATATAATTCACAGTGATAAACAAGTGCAATGAATCATTTTTCTCTGAGTAATACTACAATAAAATTAAAGGTCAAATTGCTAGAAAATCAAGAAGTAGTTTCTAATCCTAAATGGCAGTGGTAGACTTTACCCAGGCAGGAGGCAGGATTTTAGGAACGATGACATTCTGTGCCCATATATTGAAGTTAATATGCACAAGAAAGAATAAGCTGACATTTTAACTTTCCACTAAGGAAGATCTGGGGAGTCTCTAGCTACTTATAATTTTTCAACTTAACAATAGTACAAAAGTGGTATGCATTTAGAAGAAACTTGACTTCAAATTTTGAATTTGAATCTTTTCCAGGGCTAGTGATATGCAGCTCGATCCTTTCCTACAATTCTGGGCACTGGCAGAAGCCACAGCTCCCACTCAGTATTTGTTACCCTTGAAAACAGGACAATAGTAAAACACCATGCCTTGACTTTTCCCTTTGAATTCCCACAAACTTAGCCAAGTCCGGGCAATAGTGAAAGTAACACAGATGGAAATGTCCAGATAAGTATTATCTTAGAGATCACTGACTCCCCTCCCAGGCACGGGGACTAGGAGAATTAGTGCTGTCTGTAGAATGTGCTTTCCTGGGCACACCTCAGGTTCCTTGGAATGATGGTCACACAAAGGAATAAAGCAAACTGATGACGTCACGGCTTCTGCAACTTAACCTGTAAAACTCCTCTCCCTGCAGTAACTGGCTCAGAATATAGCATTGCAGGGAGGACAATTGCCTGTCCAACTGACCACCACTGGTCCAAGTGCTGTGAGGGACACAGGTGCTCCTTTCTGGTGAAGCACCAGGAGGGGTGGAGGGGCTCCTTGTCCAGCCCCTCTCATTGGACCTTCCCTTGAAGTAGTTTTCAATAACCCTTACCTCTCACCCGCCTTCACCGGCTGCATTCTTTGGTCTCTCGGCAACCTCTCCCACTGCCCTGGCACCTCTGTGCTGTGGACAGTACAAGCCCATGAAGCCACAATGCTACAGTGGCCTTGGCGCTGGGCTGGGACGTTCTGTGGTTAGGCATTATGAAATGCGGGGTTTGACTCGCAGTGTTTTCAACGTACAGTGTTTTTAACAGAATGTAACTCCATCATGAGTCAAGGAACATCTGGATATCAGGAAGAAGGAGAATTCCCTCCCCAGCATGACGTTGACCTTCACTCAGTGTCTAGTCAGATTGCCCAACCTGTCTTCCCCCGAGGAACTGCACGGACTGAAACAGAAATGGGTGGATGACCGTCAAGGCTACTTTTCAAGTGAAGAACAATGGAATCCATTGCCCATTTATCTGTGGAAATATTAAGTGGTTGATTATTGGAGTATTTTTAGAAAATCCAAATCTAGGTGCTTATGAAGTGGAGTATCGTACTGTCTGGGCAAAAATACCCATAAGGAATGTCACAGGTTTGCTGTAAAAATCCCTGAGAAGTAATTAATAGTGGAATGTGATGATCATTACTATCCAAAGTACATGTATGAAGACACGAATTGGTGTGACCATACTATGTCAACAACCAGAGATATGAAAAACAGTGCCCTGTATGTGTAATAAGAATTGTAATGCATTCTGCTGTCATATATAAATTTTAAAAGTTACATAAAAAAATCCCTAAGAAGACTCCTCATTCAACAGGAATGGTTGGTGCCTCCCTCGCATTGAGTCCGCTGCTTTATACAATCAGATCACAAGCACACATGCCCTTGGGGAGGATAATGGGACTCGGAGAGTCAATAATTAGCGGAGGCAAAAGAAGCAGAACGCGTTGTGAAATCATAGACTCTCAAGGTGAGGAGTGGCCTTCATTTTCTTCCAGTCCAACCCCTCATTAGAGGCTGAATCCCTCTAGAGCCTCCCCCAGGGGCTGTGCCCTTGAAGAGAAAGTCATGAAACCCGGCGCTGTCTAGTCTCACCTTTGTAGTGCTGACTCTGAACATTCTTTATTTAAGTGTTGTACTTTCTACTTCTAGGTCGTAGCTATCTAATAAATAAAATCAATCTAATCTCTCTATTAGAGACAAAAATCCTACCACCCATTTGAATAGGGAGAAGGCTATAGAGTGACTGACCTCACAGGAGGTAATTACTAAATGTTAGGAAGGGCTCTGAGGGTCCAGGAAAAGAAGATGAAAGGAAGAGCTCCCACCAGCGGTTTGCAGAGAGGCTAGGAGAGCAGGACGGGGAGAGCCCCCGCCCCAGGTGGTGAGCCAGACTCACTGTGTCTCACAGATGGAAGGGGCTCGTCAGGTTCAGGCTGGAGCTGCTCTTCAGAAACAGTCCCAACAAGGAAGTGGCCCCGTTGGGAAGAGGTGGCTTCATATGGCCGCGGGAACCCCCACTGACAGCACGAGTGAACCAGATGGCACAACGGGAGTCTTCCTGCTGCCGTGGCCTCTGGGTCACTCCAGTAGCGCCCTCTCTTGGTGCAACGCCAGCAGATGGGAAAGGAGACAAGCCTGCAGGTGCAGCCCCCGTAGCTCAGGCAGGGCAAAGAGGGGCGAAGCACGCGGCCTTGGGAGGTGCTGTGGAGCAGCGCCACACTCCTCCTGTGAAACAGAGAGAACGAACGTGGCCGGGCGCAGTGGCCACACCTGTGATCCCAGCAGCTCGGGAGGCTGAGACAGGAGAATTACCAGTTCAAAGCCAGCCTCAGCAACGCTGTGAGGCCCTAAGCAACTCGGGGACACCCTCTCTCTAAACAGAATACAAAAAAAGGGGCTGACTATGTGGCTCGGTGCTTAAGAGCCCCTGGGTTCAATCCCCGGTACCCAAAATAAAAAAGAGAGAACAGGTATTTTTCTAAGACCTCCATTTGCCCTTCTTTCTCTCCCTCTCTTTCTTCAAAAATCACATTAAATAAATGATTCCCAGTCCAAACCCAATATTTTCCACTCTGAATTTCCAGTAATAACTGGTTGTCTATGCCCGGGTGTCCCATGGTCACTTAAACTCCTTACGGATGGAGCTCTCCTGCTCCACCAACCCTGCTGACGAGGTTCCCCTGCCTTCACCTGGACCCACCGCAGCACGGTGACCTCCCCGCAGCACGGTGACCTGCCCCACGTCTCATTCATGAATCCTTTCCCACTTTGCCTTAGGAAGGATTTCTTTGCCCTTCTAATTCAATCCACCTTAATCCTGACTCTTGCTATCTGCTGCCAACCTGATCTCTCCATTCTGTGTCCCTGTCAGAGTCGGCATCCTCCCGTCACTTGACACGTGGGTTCCCTCTGCTCCCACCAACAACTCCCCCATTGCCTACAGCAGTGCACCCCAGAACGTGTCTCACAAACACTGGTTCTTCTAGAAAGATCTTGGGAGGGTAGCCCTCAATATGTCACTGTACGTCACAAACTTCCAAGAGCAACAACTAGAACGTAGCAGCGTTTTCTCTGCTTGCTTGGCTAGTGCAGAGCTTGAAACGTCAAGGCAGGGGTCAGGAGGGAACGCTCTTAGAGACACCGTGCTGCATCTCTTAGGACTAGGTTGGGCTTTCCCCTCCTTCTCTCCCACCTTCCTTACCTGGCTCCTCTCTCTAGGCCACCTCATGGCTTTGCTGCAGGCGTCATTCCTGAACACACACAGCAGGAAAGGACAGGCAGCACAGGGAAAGGCGCACAGCTCTGGCCAAAGCAGCCTTTCAGCAGCCTTTGGAGACACCCTACTCCATGCTCCTAGCTGTGGCCTCCTGCTGAGGAAGGGGTGGGGTCCTGAGCTGGGTGACAGCAGCCTCTGTTCCTTTGGTCTAGGGAAGGAATTCTGACCTCAGCTTCACACACCCACACCTCCATCCGGCTGCAACCCACCTTCCCAGAGTTGTTTTCAAAGCCCTCTGCTCTTGCAAGCCCTGTGCTAAACGTTCCACAGAGTCTGTGTAAGGACTGGCCCCCAGAGGGCACTGTTGGAGGTGCGGTAGAAGAGGCGGGGCCTACTGGGAGGTCTTTAGGTCATTGGGGCCTGCACTAGGAGGGAGCCCTTGGATCCCACACCCCTCCTCACTCTCTTTTTTGCTTCCTGGCTTCTGAGGGAGACAGTCTTGCTCCACCACACACTCCTACCATGATGTGCCACCTCAGCTCGGCACACACTGATCACACACTGGAACCTCCAAACTGTCAACCAAAAACCAACCTTTTCTTCTTCTAAATTGATTATCTCAGGTATTTCATTGTAGTGATAGAAAGCTAACACATCAAAATTGTGTGTTTTCTGGTCCTTGATTGTGCTTCAAAACTGCTGGCTCCTGTGTCTGTGGTTATGCATGGGGTCCATCCTGAACTTTCCCCCCCGCACTGCCTTCTGGAATTCCACCCATCCTCTAGGGGAAGACAAAGGTAGTCTCATCGAGATTTTCTCGTTGTTTAGTTTAAAGCACCAATAATGGAATTTTGTTTTGAGTAACAAAAATTCAAAAAAGATATTTTAGGACAAGCTCCCGGGGACACAGTGGCCTGCTCCAGTTGAGTGTTTACCCAGTTTGGCACTGAGCCCTCAGGAGCTGCCCCCCGAAGCTCGTCCTTGGATTCCCTCGGCTGCCAGGCACCCTGGCTGGTGATGAGGTCCTCCCCTTTTGACCAGCCTGGCTCCTGCTCACAGAGATTCCTCCATAACTTCATCCTTACACTTTCACCTGGATGCACATTCCTAGAGCAGACCACAGAACCTGTGGGTCCCAGTGCAAATGAGAACAGGTGTCTCATGAAAGAGGATCAAGGATCCAAGATGGCGACAGCAGAACAGTAACCAGAACTGGCTCTGGGCACCCTCAGTGCACTTTGACTCCCATTCACAGAATTCTGACGCTGTGGTTGTCCCCTCTCCCTGGACACACGCACCTGGTCTGACCCTTTGGGTGAGCAGACATGGATACTCGCCCACGTGTGCACACCTGTGCAAATGCACACACAGCTACCAGTCACGGAGGCTTCCAGCAACTCACTCTAGTAGGTGCCTCATATATGTTGGCAGAAGGAGGCCTCAGGCTGGTGCAAGCGCACAGTAACCCAGATCAGGAGTGAAGCCGAGAGGGGCTTCTGCCTCATGTCCTGCCTGCCTTCCACACATCCTAAACCTCAGGGTGGACATCCATCTTCCAAGATGGCGCTTGGCACCACCCTCCACAGCTCTCTACTTCCTGTAAGCTCTGGCTCGTGAGTGGTTTTGTGTCCTCATGTGTCCTCATGGGTGGATTGTACTTTAACTCCTCCAGGTTAGCTTTGGACCTGTGGCAGAGTCCCGCTTAGTCCTGCCCGTAGGTGGTAGTGTGAGTGATGCATGTAGATAGATGGGCAGTCAGGTGAGATGCAGGAAAGCAGATCCCATGCCCTCGGTAGTGCATGGAACTAATTTGTGAAGAAAATAAAGTATTCGTGAACATAGGCTGTGGGCTAGGTGCCAGCAGATACCTTCCAGCTGTCCAAGTCGCCAGTGTTCATCTAGCTCCGCAGGTTCTTCTCCTGGAGCCTGTTGGGCAGACTCATCACACCCAAGACGCCAGGCTCTACAGGGGCTGTAATGAACGTGGTGAGATCTGAGACGGGGAAGGTGAAATGGCCGGTGGAGCCTCATCCCAGTTCATGAGGCATTTCGAAGGCATCGATTTGGGCCACACTCTTGAAGGCAAGTTTAAAATGACACTCGTGTTTTATAGGTGAACGAACAGGATCAGAAAAACATGCCACCTCCCACTGACACCCATTCTTTCCTTGACCTTGATCCTGCCTAATCCATCCTCTGGATTGACCGGCATGAAGGAGGAAAAGGTTTTCTTCTGATTCCTTAATTCCTAACCTACAGCCAAGGCTCTACATCTTTCCAGTCCTGGAAGGAAATAAACTCAGTGCTGTTTCCTTCCCAGGGGTGAAGCATCAAGTTGAAGCCAGATTTAAAGTTAGGTAGTCAGTGTAGTTAGGTAAATCGGGTCTAATATCGAGTGAAATCTAAAATGGAGGCTGTGTGGAGAATGACTCAGGGAAAACACAGGACAACTCATGGAATGTTAATGAAGTCCCGGAAAGGCCCTAGGCCAAAGTCCACCTCAAAGAAATGTTAATGAACAGCCCCCCAGCAAAAAGGTGCTGACTCAGAAGTCCTTCCTGACCAGATTACTTCTTTGGCCCACCTGTGTCCCACCCCTTGGGCGTTCCCACCTACATTCCATCACTGAAAGAACTATAAAAAGGGGAGACAACATCCCTTCCACGGATTCCACCTCTTGGGTCCCCTTCTTCCTCCGGGAGAAGTCTTTTCTGCTGTCCTTTAATAAACTTTTAATTTCTACTCTGACCTTGCCTCGGCGTGCTTCTTTGGTGTTATTCTTCAACATTGGGGAAGCAAGGACTCGTCACTGGTCAACAGCGGTAACAAAGTTTCCATCCCAGGATAAATGTCTGCTTGGTCAAAAGTGAGGCACCCAGGAAAAGGATCTGGGTGGGGTCATGAACCTCCCCGGTGGAACTGCTCCTGGTGCTATGCTCCATCACCCAAGAGAGCCATGCCTGGCTCGCCAGCCCCCTGATCCTGGGCCCACCACCCTCTGTGCATGGCTGCTTTGAGAAGTGAAACCAAAGTGAAGTTTCCTGCCTGCTTAGTGACAGCACCGAGGAGCGTGTCCCTCCACTGTTAGAGACTCGTGATCACATGGTTCACACAGACCAGTGGTGGCAAACATTAGCCTTTCCATCCTACGCTGATGTTCAATTTGCCACCTGTTTTCTTTCTTGCAAGTCGATAATTCTTCCCCTACCACATCACCTCTGCCTGAATTCTTGTTGCTCTGTAAATGACCACATTACCCAATCTAGCATTTATAGACTATCAACAAGAGGCACTGTGTAAAACTGCAAAAAAACATAAAAATTTAAAAAATAAAAACGATCAATGGTTTGTTATTTTAGGAGAATTTAAAGTAATTTCCCACACACTGCCTTGGATTTCTCTCAGACTTGGCACCATCAGGCAGGCGATAAGCAGCCAGTAGGACAGGAGGCTTCTGGGATGCTGAACACAGCACAAGGCTCCTACCAACTAGCAGAACTTGGATCACAGCATTGAACATGTCCTCTGGACTTACTTACTAGTTCTCTGCTCATTTCATCCAATTCCCATGAAATTTGAAGGTATTTTCAAGGAGAACGGGGCCAGGGTCCCCTGCAGTCCTGGTTACCTGCTGTGAACAGGTGTGCCTCACAGTCAGCAGTCTCCCCACTCAGAGGAAGAAGGTTTGTGAGTCCCTGCAGTGGCCTCCCGGGGAAGCACCTCAACCCAGAATTCATTTACCAAGAGAGAGTGAATGCTCCCCCAGGCTTAAGACAGGGCAAACAGGTTTTTCGTCTTGCTTCTCCTGTTTGCAGATTCCTAGCCTCGGGGTAAAATGTTTTCCTTGGTTCAGATTCTGTTTAATTGGAATTGAATGTGCTTGTCTGCAGAGCGGCTAGGGGTTCCAGGGTTCAATTTCTAACACTCTCCTCCATAACTCCAGTCACATCTCCAGAGCCTGCATCCGTAAGGCACAGGAGCCAACTGGATCTCAAAGGCCATCCTTGTTAGTGGCCAGTTCCTGGTTCAGTGGCTCGATTTAGACTTCTTTTATTAGACTGGAATGGAGAATTTCACCTGGGACTGTAGACTAAGGGGAGTTTGCACTCCCCAAAAAGCTAAACTTGAGGGCAAATAGTCTGTGCTATGAATAGAGAGACACAGTCTTATCTACAAAGGGGCCGTGGATTCAGTTACCCCCAAAGGGTTGCTTTTTATTGGAAATAAGCAGAATAAAAGCCATCTTTTTTAGGGTACCTGAATAAAGAGCCTCCTTCCTGGGGCATCTGTTCATCCTTTCTAGGGCATCCTTTATCAACAACTGATCCCAGTCCACGAGAGAGGGATGTGTCAAACCGCGGTGGTTCTTTCTGAATTTATGATGGGCAGTTGGCAGAGCAGAACCTCTGCACTCTCACCTCTATCACTCCTGTAGTCCCGCCTTTGTCCTCCTTGTTAAGAGCCACAACAGTCCCAGCAGCCACAACAATGAGACAGGAATGTGGGCGGGCGTGTGAGTTGAATGATGGGAGAGGGGACCAGGACACCAACGTGTTCACAGAGGCCGAATCAGCGTTCTGAGCCTCTGGGGAGAAGCAGGTGCAGACCTGCTGCAGGAGGCCTTGAGGGAGGCAAAAGAAACAGGTCTGCAAAACCCCCAGCGGTGGTCCATCCGATACGCTGGGATGCTTCAGAACTGCTGGGAAAATGTGAGCCACGAACTACACACACAGGCAATGGTGAGGACAGCGTGGGCCGCGCCTCTCACAGCTGGAACATCACAGGGTCAGAGATGATTCCGGCCTGGAAACAGTGAAAACCACGGTGCCCACAAACTTAATCGAATGTGTGACGTTCACCATGACTCTAAGACTCGGACATTCCCGGGTCTGTGAGCTCTCCATGCACTGACGCTCCGGCGGCCATCGCGGGCCCATGCAGAGTCCCAGCCATTCTGGGGAAGCCGGAAGGGAAGGCTGCGCTGTGATCTACTGATGTCACTGGGAATTTGTGAGACTGGGGTTTTCCTCCCAGGGCCCAGCTACACATCTGCACAAGACACTTGAAGACTCTGAACCAGCCCCCTCTGTCCCCCCAGGATCCTCAGGCTCCTCCACCCACTGGTAATGAGGATGCTGGACATGGGGCCTCTTTCCACTGTCTGTGGGGAACCTGGCTGCTTCACCGGGGCTAGAAGTCATTCAGCAAGACCCTTCCTTCCTCTGGAGTCACCTCCACACAGGGCAGGACCTCAGGCTGCTGGTGCCACAGCCACCCCTGCAAACAGCTTCTGGGGAAGCCCTTTGGTGGGTGGGGCCCATGTGGGACTGCCCTGGCTTGGCAGCCCAGGAATCCCCTCGTCCATCGGGCTGGCAAGGCAGGAGGTTGGGATGGCAAGATGGGGATGTGCCACCAGGTGAAGGGGTCAAGGGCAGTGTGTCTGCTTGCATCCCCCTAGGGGACTCTTGCCCAGCTCTCCACGGGATGGTTTGAGTCAGGTTCTCACGGCTGTGACCCAAACACCTGACAAGAAAAGCTGAGAGGAGGACAAGTTTGTTTGGCTCCTGGTTTCAGAGGTTCAGTCCGTGGCTGGCTGACTCCTTCCATCTGGGTCTGAGGTGAGGAGAGCGTCATGGCGGAAGGGTGTGGAGGAGGGAAGGAGCTCAGGACGTGGCACCAGGAAGGCGCCAGGGGCACATCTCTAGTGACCTACCTCCTCCAGGAACACCGTACCTGCCTACAGTTACCACCCAGTTAATCCATTAAAGTGGATTAATCCACTGATTAGGTTAGGGTTTCCTAATTGGATTTTTTTTGACCTCTGAACTTTCTTGCATTGTCTCATACAAGAGCTTTTGGGCGACACCTCATATCTAAACTGTGGCAAAGACCACCCATATTGCTATGGGAACTCCCCCCAAGGATCCATAGACTAAGGGAAGCGGAGTAAGGCCAAGCATCCATGAGGCTAGTTATAAGCCACCTGTTCCTGGTTTGGGGGCTCTGAGCCACTCTCTCCTGATTGGCCCACTCCACTTCAAGGGGCGTACTGTGACTTTTAATAAATCCGTGTCTGGCTGCTTCTCCTGTGTGTCTTGCTCAATTCTTTGTCTGTGATGCCAAGAACCTGGGCATGGACTCCCTCCTCCATACTCGCCCTCCCCAGGTAACCCGGAGTGGGAGAGAGACGCAGAGCCTGGGGTCCTCACCACTGGGGCTCCGTCACAGACCCCTGTTCTACACCCTGCTGTCTGCAGAAGCCTGAGTTTGAAGGAGGTTTGCTAAATCGGGCCTGATGCGCAGTGGTGCTAACACACTAATCCATTTCTTGATGATGGCCTTGGTTTAAATTCCTGGCCATTTTGCCTCTTCTCACAGCCTTCAAGAGTTGAATGAGATTGAAATTAAAGTTGCCCATTTTCATGTCTGTAGGTCAACTACCAGGAACTAACAGCCCCACAGACATTCCAGCGGGGAACTTAGGGTGTCGCCATGGAGGTCTTGTCTCAGAACAGGGATTTATCTCTAGACTGGTAAGCCTTGAGTCCTGGTTGTCTGGAGGTGGAGGGATGGAAACCCATGATGTGCTGGTAATTTGACAATTGGCCGTGGGAGGTGGGAGGCTTGGCAGTGTTCCTGCTTCCTGTGGTGTAAATACTCCTCCTCTTGAGAGTACTGAATGCAGAGTTGGGAAGACACGGTGGAGCTTGTCAGGTGGTACTTGACTCCACTAGACAGCATTTCTGTCATAGAGATGCAGAGACTTGGCTGACCTCCAAGCTAACCTCAAGATTATTAATCTGCAGTAAAATATTTAAGAAGCGGTGAGTTTAGGGTATTTATTTTGGCTCTTGGTAAAATTTAATTAATTATAAGCTTATATCATTTTATTCATAATAATGGCTGCATGCAGCAAGCAACTAGCCAAGTCCCTGAGAAGCTCGAAATCTGCTCTTGTGACCTGCTCTGAGCTAGCTCCAGGACTCTCCTGATGGAGAGACCCTGTACCAAAGTGACTGAAGCCAAACCTTGGTCAAGCCTCAGGACAAGGAGATTTCCTTGATTAGAGGCTAAGAGGCCCTGGGGGCTCTGCTCCCTGAGATCTCAGTGCCAGGGAAACCATTTCAGCATAAAGATGAATCTTAAAAGATGAATTTAGGTGAATCAGAAGTGCATCTTAATGCAGTAGCAGAAACAAATTCCAACTGAATGATTTTCATTCTAGATTTTTTAAAAATGTTGATAATAAGGTAGAGGAGGCATTTGGGGACTCCAAGGGCCTTCCGTTTGTCCCAGAAAAGGTATTGGGGAGCAAGTGCCTGCAAGGGAAACAAGTCTCATGTAAGCTCCAGGTCCTAGAAGTCTTCTAGAAGTCTTAACAACCACTGAAACACAGGCAAGCAGGCAGATTTCTCCTCCCTGGTTAAGGACAAAAAGGAGTCTGAGGACCTTTTGTGGGGTCCCATGACTGGGAGCCAACTTAGGCTTCCTGGTCTGGGGGTTTTTCCTGCCCTAGAGACACAGAGCCAGCAGAGCCAGCGGCTGTTCTTCCTGTAATTTAAACGAGTGGTGGGAGAAAGCCCAGCCTGGAAGGGCCCTTTGTCCTGCTTCTTACTTGACACCAACTTGGTTTCCCTCCTCTTGGGCTCTTGCAGTGAACTTGCCTCTAAGGCTGGGCAGGGGGAGAGGGAGGGGGCGCCTTTCATGTTTCCAGCTGAAAGACACCGGCTGTCCAACAAGATTTGCTTTTTCTTGCTGGCTGAGAGAACTGGGTCAGGGGCGTGGCCGGCCCTGCGCTGGGTCTCCAGCCTGTGGTGCTGCATTAAGCCCTTTGTTTATTCATGAGCTGTTGTTTTGTTTAAAATTATAAAGTACATCTATTGCCTGGGGCAGGCTACGGTGTACACACTTGCAAAACAGCACCATGATCTCTGAAATCCTTAGATAACTTGGAAACAACCACTCTAGCATAGAGAGCACTGCCCTTGGAGTGACCTTGAGCTCCTGAGAGTCATAAAGAACCGCAGGTGGGCTCAAGCTTCTCCACCAGGCTCCTGCAGACTCCTGCACCTGTCTGGAAGCATTGCTTACACCAGCCATGGGGAAGGTCTTTGTTGAGCCCCCGTTCCCCCATGAGGCAATTGCTCTTTAAAACGCTTAGGGTGACTTTCAAATCCTACCTTCATCTCATCCTCTGCAGTTCTAGGAAACCTGGCAGGCAGCCCTGAGTTAGCCATGAATGCAACAATGATTCAAACCCCAACATACCTCCTCTACCACACACGGTTAAGCTGCGAGTTAGACAATAACAGCATATTCCAGAGTGGAAAGTCACACGGGGTGTGTGTGTGTGTGTGTGTGTGTGTGTGTGTGTGTGTGTGTCTGTGTGTCTGCCCTGCTGAATCGAAGAATTTTTCAAAACGGAACTCATCAGAAAGGGCTCAAGAGTTACTGGAAACTAAGAGAAAACATTCGAGGGAATATTTACAGGGAATGCTCATCAACACAGGCACTTAAAGGAACCATGTTTTTAATTTAAACAGGGAATTTAGATCACTTTGACCTGCCTTTGAAAACACTGCTCATCTTTAAAATCCTCACCATGACTTCTTCCCCTAGAAGACTTCTTTAATGGAATTTATATAATAGAATTAAAACCAGGCTCATCTGGTGCA